AGACTTGGAGAAGCTGTGGAAGGACAGTCAGGCCACCTGCTACATGGACACCTGGATGCGGAGGTTAAACTCAAGGTGGAAGAGCAGGACACACACATCATCTCAGCCTAAAGTGCAGTGACATAGCAGAAAACCGTTTTCTGGTACTTCTGCAAGTATGTGGACTCTTTACCTGGCCAAGACAGGGCTGGGCAGTGACGGTGGGGTTGGGGGAGGAGGTCAGCACCACATATTTTGGGGGAAGGACTGTGGGCTCCTCCATCAGCAAACGCTTGGAAGGAAGGTGGTACGGGTGGCACCTGGGCGCCAGGGCTCCTCTGGTCTTGGGGTACCAGGCGTGACGTCTCCTCTGCACCCACATTCACCCCAAGCCAGCACCAGCCCCTGTAGGTAGAGGGCAGTCCCTGCTCCTCTTGGAGGGTGATCAAAGGGATCAAAGAGTGCCTGGTCACGGTCCCATATCTGTAAAGACAGTGGCTGGCAGCCGGGCAGGAAGCCTCAGACCCTGCCTGTCCATTGTCAGCCTGTTTCTACCCCACATGACCTTCTGCTCCTCAGATGACATAGACCCTCGTGTCACAATTTCCATCCTGGAAGGAAAGGAGGTGACAGCCTAAGGCCCAGGATTAACATGGGACAGATGAGAGTTGCCCCCCACTCCCTTCCCACCCTGCCAGCCGAGACCTGGCTGTGAAAACATGACAGGTCACCAGGTTGACAGCCTCCCACCCACCTGTTCCTGCCCGAGGTGGGCCCTCCCCATGTCCCCATTCTCCCACACTCAGGAGGAGGGTGTGGGGCTGCCCAGGTGGACTCACAGCCAGGACCTGTTCTGGGCCGCCATGCGTTACCTTTGGGTGCCTCCTGGAAAATGGACAGAGGTGTCTGGACTGAGGCCTGAGCCAACACCTGCAGTGTCGGAAAAGGCTGTCACTCCAGGGCTCCCAGAGACCACAGCCCTGGGAAGTCGGGATACAGCAGAACATCTTGTTCTATTGAGTGTCTCCAGCCAAGTGAGCTTGGCAGGGCTGTTTCTAGAATGTGGGTGCCTGGTTACTGGTGTTCCAAGTTCTGTTGTGATCTGTCACCAAGGAATTGAGGTCACTTCCTGGGGTC